GCAGAGTGGGGCAGTGAAGGCAATCTGGGAATTAGCTTTAGAAGTAAATGTCTTCACAGTAAGGGTGGCAAGCCACCGTTAACATGGACCACTGATCGGGGCTTAGATGGTCATTTTAGAATAAATTTCTGCTGGTAATGATGTTACCATCTGGATAACATGACCTGTATAAAGAGGGTCTGGTAATGATGTTACCATCTGGATAACATGATGTGTATAAAGAGGGGGGGGGATTTTTGACTCAACGTGCCTCCCAAACCCTGGGCTGGCAGTTAACTGATGTTAGAATACTAACTTATTTTGTGTTCAAGACCTCTAGCACATTTTATTTCAAGTGCTCCCTGGAGTCATTTACTTCAATTCAAATTTGACCTCCCCAAGGATGCATTTGATGAAAAGAACCGCGAAATCTCACCACATCTCTTTAGTAATCCCTATAGCTATAGCAGAAGGCTAGTAATAGACCTTTATAGAGAAATATACTGTCAAAACATGCTCAATAGCGATACGTCCTAGACTTATAACACACAGAAATGACAGTTTCTCATGATGTTATTGGAATTTCTTTTTTTTTTTTTAAGGGGGTTTTCGCTATAGGGAGCATGTGGTCACTGCAGAGACAGAAAACACAAATTCACTTCCCAGGGAGGATGGCCACACTGCAATCCCTTCTCCATTTTCTTCTCTGGATCTTGGGCATGCACACACATGTGCCTGGCTTGAGTCTGAAAGCCACTGAGTCTGGGACTTGAACCATGATAGACTACTTGGGAGTCCAGTGACGTAACTATTACACCTTCTGATAGTTCCCACCCCTTCTTTTTAGAAAAAAAAAAAAGGGGGGTCCAGATCCATTAATATTTCAATATTGCTTAAGACTTGGCATTAGTTGAGCCCACTGGCACTGACACCTTTGCTCCTGAAGTTTTTGAATGAGTTTTGATTCATAAGATTTGAATTTATTGAAAATATCTCTTACTATGCTACTATTCAGCATATTATATTTTGAACTTTCTAGGTAATTTCAAAGATATATAACCTGTGACAGAGATGAACTCTATTGAGAATGACTTTTTTTTTTTTTTTGTGGGCCAATTCCAATGCAAATTTTGATCAATGCCCTACATGTGATACAAAACCTTAATTCCTGATTCATGTCTCAACTCAAGAGTCTGGTGCTAACTTTCGGTCCCTTAAGGAGCAGGGATGTGGGTGTGGTTGTGGCTGGCGCTGGGGCTGGGCTTAGATTCTGTTCTGCCCAGAGCTGGCTCTGTGCTGGCTCTGTAGCTACCCTCTATGATCTCTCAGTGGAGGTCTGAGGAACAAGCATTTCTGTATCTCTCAGGTGACTGCTCACCTCACTGCAGAAGTTGGGGCCTCCTGAGGCTTGGGAGGACTTCAGTGTCTACTCTGCTTTGTCAGGAGACATCAGGTACAGCCATGGCTCTGTCCTGTTGTGTGTCCTCTGACAGGTCCCTGAACGCTCTGAGCTTCATTGCCTTATGCACACATGAAAGCAGTGAGAAAATTCCATGGTTGGCTGAAGAGCGTGTTCCTCATGACATTCCTAGGTGTCTTGCAGAGAAGGTCTCAGTGGTCAAATTTAGGTCAAATTTAATTAACGTTAAGTGGGATTCTTTGGGAGTTTGTTTGTTTGTTTGTTTGTTGGAGAGGGTTTTTTTTTTTTTTTGCTATAGGGCGCATGCGCTCGCCAGGCAGACTGAGAGAGAGAGAGAGACAGAAAATGAGAAATCACCCCCCAGGGGGGATGGCCACGCCACAATCCCGGGGGGATGGCCACGCCACAATCCCTTCTCCTCCATTCTCCTCCTAGGATCTTGGGCACGCATGCACACACACCAGCGTGAGTTTTAAGCCACCGGGTCCAGGACACTAACTGCGGTCGACTATGTGGGAGTCCAGCAACATAGCCATTACGCTAACTGCTGGTCCCCAAGTGGGATTCTTTATGGTAGGACTCTTCAGAGACTCTAATTTAGGATGGTTATAATACATTTGTAGCAGAGGGCTACAATAGGAAACATTTACTTTTTGTTTGGGATAAATAAAGTACATAGACAGCCTAAGATATCTTCTAGTATCTTCTAAAATAGATATTTGGGCCTTAGTGTTCTTATTTAAAACAGTTTTTGTTTTTATGACTCAGTGACTTCTTTTCTGGGAGCCTCCTGCCAATAACTTTTCTTAGGAAAAAGAAGAGTGTTCCTTTAAGGCTCTGTTTAGCCAAGTGAGCGGACGGAGCTGTCTACTGCTGGATTTCAACTTCCACTGCAAATGCAGCTCACTGTTCTCTTGCAATATCCACTTCTGATTTTTCCTCTATAGGTCCTTGGGGACTCTTTCTCTTTCTGAGAACTAGAGGCATTAGACACTTCACATGCTGGCAGTCTACATCTTTGCCTCTTCTTCCAGAGATGTGTGTTTGGGTGCACATTAATCTTGTGTCTTCTACAATCTAGATGGCAGCTCCAAGAAGCCTGGTCTTGAAATTCAAGTGAAACTGACTTGCAGAGCCCTTTTGCTCCCTAGTGAAAGGCCCTTGTCTTTCTCATTGTCTACAGAATTTTGGGCAGAAGATGGAATATGGTATTTTTTTAAGTATTATTTTATTTAATTTGATTCATTGTCATTATTTTATTTTATTTTTGAAGTTGACAAGAGAAAGACAGAGAGAGAGAGAAGGAAAGTGAGAAAGCAAGCTGTCAGGTCCGGGACTCAAACCATAGTCAGCCATGTGGGAGTCCAGCCACCTTAACCACCATGCCACTACTGGCCATGGTTTTTGAGTTAACTCTGGACCTGAAGCCTCACGTCAGCTGAAATAGTTGGTAAGATAGATTACCCCAAGCCTGTGGCGGCTACTCTGTATCTCTGTACACCCAGGACCTCATTCACAAAGCACATTCATGTTTGCCAGATTTTGCTAATGGCATGGTGTCAGAAAAGGACATAGCCTCCTTGTGTGATTGGCCATTTCCTTTCATTGTTTAGATTTTGGGTGTCCCTATTTTCTGGATTCCCCTAATTTTGGCATGCAGAGTAGCTTAGCTCTGGGTTCAGGTTATGAATATCAAAGGATGTATGCTTATTAGTTTCTGCCCTTTAGTGATCACCAAAGTGGCAAAGCTTCTGCAAATTTGATCTCAGGGCCTGCAGGTGGCATAGTGGTTAAGGTCCTGGATTCCCACCTAGGAGTCCATGTAATCTGAATCTTGGACCCAGTGACTTGAGAATCACAGCAGGCACATGTGCATGCATGCCCAAAATCCCAAGAGGAGAATGGAAGAGGAGGGATTGGGCATGGCCACCCCAACCCCCGAGAGAGGTGATTTCTCACTCCCTCCCCCTTGCTGGTATTTGCATGTGACCTGTGGCAAAGACCTTAAAAGAAACAAACAAAAAAGAAAGTTTGATCTTTGGTTTCTGGTTTCTTCCTTTTACACCCACATCTATGAAGGGAAAGGAACAGTCAAAAGATTTGTTATCCTCTCATATAAATCATTCTGTCTCCTTCAATTCAGACAAGTTTCAGTTTTAGTTTAAAATATCAATTTTTTTTATACCTCCATCAAAATCCCCCACACTCACCCACCTTTGCCTTGCCCTACTTCCTGCAAAGGCACTCTGCGTCAGCGGCCCTCTCGTGGGTATCTTTGTCCTTGGTCTACCTTTACCCCTGCCCTTCTTGTATGGCAACCATGGTGATCTTCCTGAAGATTGATTAGGACGCTCTTTCTCTCCACCTCAAAGACCTCGTGCCTACTAATTTTTATGAAAATTATAAAATCTCAACTCCTTTTTTGATGTTCGGTTCTCTCCTAAAACAGTTTCATTTTTCTTTCTTTCTTTTCTGCCTCAAGTTCTTTTACCCAGTCTTTTGTCCACTCTGTACACGTTTCTTGCTCACCCAGCTTAGTGAGGCCTATCCTTGGAGTCAGGGCTTTCCTCCCATAGTTATGTCTATTGAAAATCCTACTTCTCCCTCAAGTTTCAGCCCAGAGAGTATCTCTTCCATGGACTCTTGTCTGTCATCAAAAGCAGAAATGCTGCTTGCCTCTGGGGAGTTATAGAGGAAACCAGTATTTTTCTGAGGGTCAAATATAGGTCAGCAATAAATGAATGCTTAATGTGTTTGCCTACTTATTCCTCCTTATCCTTGTGTGATATACATCATTGGCCCTATTTCAGAGTGAAGGAGTTAAGTCACTTGTCACCTGCCCAAAGTTTATCAAGAAAACTGATAACGGCTGACTTTGAATCCAGGTCTACCTGGCCATGCATTCCTTCCCATGATGACCTTAGACTTCTGTTGATTAGATACTTGCTGCAACTTCCCCATGTGGTTATAAATAGTAAATGCCCTGATACTTCTATGTCTATTCTAGTGACCCAAACACAAAGTTGTAGGTCCACATATGGAGGACTTAATCAATATTTGTAGATTTTAGTATTTTTTCTGTAATATGATTATATTAGGTTTACAGGAAAGTCAGGACACATTTTTGCATTTAAAAAAAAAAAAACATCCTGACTTTCCTACAACCTAATACTTTTGCTCATAATTTTTGTGCCTGAGTGGAAATATAGGAAAATTCTAGTCAAAATAAAGCTTTAAACATTAAAATTAAGTGATAATATACTCTTTGTATTTCATCTACGGAATTGGTGTGTGTCAAGCCATACACGGTTGTAAAAATATATACAATGTGTAAATATGCATATGACAAAGAGAGGCCATGATGTTAATAAAGTGTCATACATAAAATATTTGCTAATAGTAGTTTAAAAAAAAGAAAATTTGCTGAAGTGCAAGGTCAGACAGGCTTCTTTATTGAGGTGTTCATTAACTCTGGGACAGTTGAATTGCATTGTCTATCCCATTGCAGTTCTGTTGTTGTGACTCTTGTTTAATCTTTTTAACAACATAATCCGAGATTCAGTGGGAGTAATAGTTTCTTTCTCTCTGTTCTCTGCAGAGTCGCAGTGCACCCTCTGTGGGGAGCCGGAAGGTGAGTACTTTTATCATACTCCTACTTGCTTCAGGTGGGATGGAATGGGGCATGATAGATCATAGGTAGTGCTGATGGTGATCAACTGCTATGGAATAGTAGAGAACCTTAAGAATTGAAACCATATTCTTTGTGGTGTTTGATGGGAAAAGAAAATGGAATGAAATAAAACAAAGTCCAGGATGAGCATTATGCAACAGGATATCATTCCTAAAGAAACATGGACATTGCAACAAAATTGTAAGATTTCCCTTTGGCTTGTTTGTTTCGTTCAGGATTTACACATTTGAGTCACTTTTATCCAGATAATAGATGTCAGTGTTTATTAGCTTTAAATCTATTAACCAAAGGTGTCGATGAGACTCACATGAAATGAGGCCTGGGGAAACTATTCCTAATTGTTAGTGACTGAATCAGAGAGGTTGTTTATGATGCTTTGCTAGTAATCAGTGATATTAAAAACTGTATTACTATGTAAGCTCCAGTTGTCCATATGTCCAAACCACATTTCAATGGGAAACTTCTGAGACAATAATTTGTTAACGGTGTTCCAAGTCAATGAAGGCCAAAATTTGTATAATATTTTTCAATGGTATAATTAGAAAGAATAAAGAAAATGTGGTAAACACTTAACCCCTATTGATGGGGACTCTGAACTAATCAGAGTTTTTTAGAGTGTAAAAAGAGGCAAATTAGCTAAAAAAAGAAGCAGTAGGCTCAAGGAACTGGGAACAAAAGCCAGCCCCAGGAAAGTGCTATGGTCTCAGAGTCCAGCCAAAATCTGCTTCACCTCATTGTGAGATGATGCTAAAATGCCTACTTGGAATACCTGAGCATTAAAGACTCTAATCTATGCTCAAGCTATAGGAGCTTCATTGTGTCTACTAGAAAGAAAATGGAAAAAAGGGAATAGAGGGTTAATTTGGAAATTTCATCAAATGCTCCATTTCCCCAGTATGGTGTTTAATTGAGGTTTTATGACAAAAGGTTTTGAAATTCTTCCAATGTTATTTAGTAAGTGTGTATAATGCATAGATTATACCTATGATAAAGTTTTACTTCCATTTTAACGTCTTAAGCTTTACTTTTATGTAAAAATCAGATGTCTGATTACCGGTGTTTCCAGGGTCCAAAGAAATGTAGCATTTGAGAATCTGGAAAGACAGTTCAGGAGGACATTGAATGATGATTTTGGTTGTATTGAATGCTGTCTCATGATGGGGAAACTCACTGATCCTCTCCCCTGAAGATGCTAAGGTTGTCGCAGGGGTTGGTGAATTTCTCCAACCTGTCTTGTGTCCTTTAGGTATTTGAAAATTTTATTCTTTCTTATCATTTCTTGTTTTCATTGTCATTCTCAATTTGGGAATATGCATATCATGCTCTGGCTTCATGTGTCTCTTGTACCCCACTATCTCCTGCTGCAAGTTTCCCATGTGCTATGTGTCCTAGAAAAATTATGGCAAGTAAAAACCTTATTAATAATGGGTTAAACAAATTGCATTATATTTTTCCATCTACTTGTTTCTAATAATGTCTATTTTCATCAAAGGATGGTGGATTGTGGAGAGCGCATTTTGCTAGATGTTGCTTAGTGCTGTCGTAAGAGCAAACTTTGATTCCAATAAAGAGTATACATTGTGTTTGAAGGAGCTATAAGGTGTGAATGGAGGCTGGCAAATTACCTCTGGAGTCTCCACTTTAGGATGGGTGTTTGTCCATTTCTGTGACCATCCTAGGTAGTGAGACTCTAGAAAGGATCCCAGATCTTCCAGCTGACTTGAAACTTTTACAGTATTTTTAATATTGTGGGAAATGGGTTTCCACCCCCCCACTCCGACTCCCACTCCCTGAGTGTTCTAGCTCCAGGTCTAGAGTTTCTTGGCCCCAACACCATCAGAAGTCAAACGACCAGAGTCTGCCCACTTGGACAGTCTAATGGGTGCTTTCCTGTTAGTCTCCTGCCCTTGTTTAACTTCCACATTATAAATGTCAGCCCACACCAAATGTGTAAAAGTGTCATGAGAAGAGGGAAGAAGCATGTTATTATTGCCCTAGAGGGCAGATTACCTTGTAAATATTTAACATGAGACATTCTTGACTCTATACAAATATTTTAAGCTGTCCGACTAGAGGAGACCTTCAGGGTTAAAAATCCTAGCTGAGGTTGGAGGTTGCAAGCGGTCTGTGGGATGTGAGGAGCTGGGAGTTAGCTGTAAGTTCCTCTGACCTTCTGTCTGCTCACTGTGATCCAGTTCTCTGAGCTTTTCCAATGTTTCATATATGCAAGTGAAGTTGCACCAAATCAGAAAGGGAGAAACGAGCTGATGGTGAGGTCTCAGCTGTGCTTCAGTTTTTGAAAAGCACCATCATATGAATATTCATACATTTTTAAATCATTTAAGTAATTAGTCTAAGTGAGAGCTGGCTGGGTGCAGCGAGTGGAATCTGAAATCAGTTTTTTTGTTCAGTAATTTCTTCAGCAGCTTCTATTAGTTAACTCATAAACGTCGTTGCTCGGAAATGATCTGAGCCAGAGGCTGGAGACAGAGTGTACAGCTCAGATCTGGGTGCGTTGTGTTCATTACATCCAGAAGGTTAAGGCAGCAACTCATTTAGCTTCTCTCTTTCTTGTCAGAAAGCTGTTAACAGCCTTTCACGGCTAAACCAGTGAAGTGGGAAACACCTATTTGCATTTTAATGATTAGTTCTTTTAGAGAGAGCTAGTTCTCTGGATACAGATTGAATAATTAGCATTGTCTCAGATGATAATATCTGTCAAACAAATGAGACTAGGAACAAAGTTTATAGGATGCTAGAGACCTCAGAATTCTATGGTTGTGAATCCCTATAAAGGTGTGGCCTATTTTTTTCATAGAATTTAAAAATAGTGAATTGTATATAAAATGTAGATTATAATCTCAATATGCAAATTGCTTATACAGTCTATATTTCAAGGTATCTGAAACCTGGAGGACTGTGCTTTTTTGAGATGAAAGATGTTCAGTGGATTTATTGTTATTTGTCAGTACCTTTCTTCTTACCATGGATTTACAGATAATCCAACTCTGAATGCTGGAAACGCAGAGCTGCATGAACATGAAAGGGCATTTTTGTTCATCAGGTTCACAGTGTCATTTGTAGGGACATATTGCAGTGTTTTGCCATGCAGAGAACTCTTTTAAAACAAACTACTGAGTAATAAATAATAATAATAGTTTAATAAAAATAATATCAATAGCTATAATAACTAGCCTAGATGCTAGTAAGAGTGCCTCAATTTGTTTCATTTTCTTAGAAGTTCCTATTACCTTTTAGATAGTCAAAGTAACTGAATGTTATATAGCAAGAGATCATGGGTTAGTTTACCTTGACATAGTAAGAATCTCTAAATGATATAATCTCAATTTAATATAAAAACATTATTTAAGAGTATTGACAAACACATGATACCACTTAGTTTTTAACAAGACCATAAGGAAAATTATAGGCATTGGGTAAGGCTACAGATTAGCCTATTTGTTTACCCTTTTATAGTTTGATTTTTCCCTCATAACAAAAGCATTTCCTGATGTGGAAAGATGGATAATGGTGCTTGGCTAAGTTAAGAGGACTTGTCTGAAATCCACTATAATATAATAATAATGTTTTAGGTCTATGTTATGTGTTAGGTTGTTGGGATAGTTATGACATATTTTTCTATGATTTTCTGTGCAAAAATGTGTCAGGACTTTCTCAATGTCTCACAACAAAATTAAAACTTGGAAATTTGCTATGAAGGAATATGCTATAAAAATTTTAGGATGAAAGGTTCTTTACAATAGAGGTCTCAAAACCATAACTTTAAGAAGTGATAAACCAAGATTGACCCATGGGCTAGTGATTAAGGGAGCCAGATCCTACATGGAAAACCATGTGGTTTGAGTCCTAGCCCCAGTATTTGGTAAAACAAGCGAAGTGCCTATGTGTGCATGCCCAAAATTCGGACAGGAGGGAAAATGGAGTAGATGGGATTGTAGCATATCTGTGCTCCATTGAGGAGGTACCCTCTCCCTTTCCCTCTCTCTTTGTCTCTCTGTCTCTTTCTGACAAGTACAAACATCCTCTGGCAATAAAAAGAAAAAAGGAAGCAAGCAAGCAAGCAAGCAAAGGACTATTTGTAGGGGCATTAATATATATTGCATTAGTTGAGAATTGCTATTTATAGAGATTCCAATCTGAAAACAAAATTCAGGTTTCCATAAATCATGAAAAGTTTAAGATAAGAGATTTTATTCCTACATCTAGATATTTTTCTTTTTACTCTGATCACTTAAAAACACAACATGCATCCTGAACTAGGAATGTCAGACAGATATACAAATTCCTATAGTTTACTACAAATAGGAAGAACCAACACTCCCTCTTTTCCTTTCATAACTCATGATTTAAGAACAGTAGAGGGCTGTAGCACAGCAGTTAGGTGAATAGAAAGCAGTATCCCACATGGCCAACTGCAATTCCACTTCCAACCCCAGTGTCTTAAAAAATACCCATGCACGTGTGTGTACCTATGAAGAACCATGATGAGGTGGAGAGATAGAGGGAAGAAGTATTTGGACATGACAACAACCCACTGAAGAAGGTGCTTTCTCTCTCTTTTGGGGGAGCAAATGTACCTTAGAGGACAGTAATTAATTATTCCTGTATTTACTAGCATTATGTTTTCAATTTGAAAATAATAGATATTTAAGATTTTCCTCATAAGTGACTCTGAACAATGAATAATCTCCTTACTATTTTTGTTCCTTAAATGAACATGTTTTGTGTTGAGATTTTTTTAAGACCTCTTAATAATTGAGGGGAAAAGTAGAGTATTTTTATTGTTGTTTGTTTTTGTTTTGTTTTTTTTAACTTGACATCAAAAGGTTTAGAAAGAAGCATTTCTATCCCACTTACAGCCTCCATCCCTGTTCCCTGTTCTCTGGAGCAAGAGAGCATCCATATTTTCAAAGAGAACT